ATGTACCGAGAAGTCTGCCGTAAATTATTATTTGTTATGGTACTGAGCTGTACGATGGTTGTAATTTTACCATGTCGATTTTTGGGATATACGAGCCAATCAAAGGGACTCTAAAGATTGTGATGCCTTCCTTATTAATATACGTAACTGAAAATAAATAAATATAATATTTATTGACACACGTATTGATATTAAGATAGTGGTTTGAATTTTAGATATTTAGATTGTGATTGTTTGTCAGAAATTTACATAGTAGTTCTTGCTACTTTACGTTTTCCGTGTTAACTAAATTTCTAAAATATTTATTTTATTTTGGGCATTTATTTGTTCACCATTTTCGTTGCATTTCATTTTCCCCAATGTTCTATGAATTATTTCAGTTTTCTTTTTAATGTTTCAATTTTGTGTAGACTTTTTATGCATATTTTTAAGTAGGCTTATTGTAGTTATATGATGTCTATGTGTGTAGATGACTACTGGTGGCTCCTTATTTAATAGATTATTCATAATTTGTTTATCATTTTCAAATATTCGCGAATATTACATCATGATCCCTATTCCTTCAGCACACGGGAGTTCTTTCTAAGCTTTCTTTGATTCAGATTGGGTTCAAAATGGCTGACTGGCGGCCATTTTGTTTTAATGATTGGGCTTCTAGAGCCATATCTCTTAAATGCTTTGACTGATTATATTCAAATTTTATATATTCATTATACATGATGTCATAGATAAAGAGATATATTGGTTTGACGATTAGTTTTATGCGACATTCAAGATGGTTGCCCCCATATAGTAAATATCGTATTTATTTTACTATCACGTGTGCGCCAGCTTGACTGCATTAGACATTACGGGTTCCTGATGCACGTCATTTTATTTTTCATATTGGGTTCAAAATGGCTGACTGGTGTCCATTTTGTTTTAATGATTGGGCTTCTAGAGCCATATCTCTTAAATGCTTTGACTGATTATATTCAAATTTTATATATTTGTTATACATCATGTTATATATATACATGTATTCAAAATGGCTGATTTTGAATGCTGTTCCAGAGCAATATTATTTTAATGTTAAAAAATCATATTCCTGACATGGTTATATTCCAGTTATATTACTATAAACAGAACTATATATGTTAAATTTAATAACTAACAGGGACTGTGCCATGCATGGCTTGTTAGTCCTCGTTCGAAGTCCGAAAACGGGGACTTGTAATTCGGTCTCCGTCGTCTGTGTGTCCGTGCGTTCGTCCAGAGTCGTATCTCAGAATCCCTTGGGCCGATTCCATTCATTCTTTGCATGTGCCTAGTACTTTATGTGGGACATATGCACATGCAGTGGTTTAGCGATTCAATTCAAAATGGCCGACTGGCAGCCATCTTGTTTTTTGAAAATGTTGTATTTTGGACATGCTTTGTCATTCAAACTTGGTACATGTTAGGATACATGTCCATGACGATTTATTTTGCAATTGGATCAAAGATGGTAGACTGGCAGGCATCTTGTTTTTGTTTTTTTATGCGGTATCTTGGACGTGCTCTGTCAGTTTTCATTCAAAATTGGCACATACATGTACTTTTATACATGTTAGGATGCATGTCCATGACAATTTGTTTCAAAATCTGGTCAAGGGTGGCCGATTGACAGCCATCTGACGTTTTGGCCTTGCCACTATATTTCCACAATTTATGTACCATTTTCATTTGTATTTGGCACGTACATCATACATTAAGTGTGTTTCATCATCTGATCAAAGATGGCTGAATAACGGCTGTTTTTATTTTGGCCATATTACTATGACACGAAACATGTGTTTTGATGTAAATAAACAATCTGTTGTATACGCCACTTAGAACTCAAGTTTCAAGGACACGCTCGCGACAACCCCTCCGCTTTAATATGACGAGCACAAAGAGAACATAACGGGGACTGTGTCATTTTCAATGACTTCTTAATAGCTAGATCAGGACATTCATCAATAAAGTTACTGATGATACAATAATATGGTGCTTACTTTTTTGAGTTGCTTATTTCAACTTCCTCTGGAAGTCAATGACAACAATTTATTTCATATTAAAACATTTTTCCCAAAGAAAAATAATATCCCACCTAAATGGGCACATGATGAACGAAAATTGTCGTTTTGATTGTTTTTTTTGAAAAATTTGTGGGGCTAAGTTGGTCGAGTACGATAATTGCTGAACATATACATGTAGTTGTTCAAAGGCATGCTTCTATAATTCTTAACAGTTTGCACAGATAATTAGCATAAGCATAAATAAAATCTGTTGATTGAAATATCTTTCTGAGCTGAAGAACACAACACAACTGTGACAAACTGCTTTCATCTTTATTTTTTTCAGATTTATCTGGTAAGGTGAAGAGTGTGGCTGAATTAGAGGCTGAATTGAATGGCATGGTAATTGGAAATAATAATAGGAATAAGAGACCTGACCATCATGCTCATCATTGCCACCATCACAACACTGTTATGAATACGGACATACAGCAGCCACAGACTTTTACAGACAAGCCCCAAACAGTAAATCTTGGTGGTGATATGTCTGCTTTTGATAAACTTGTTTTCAATATGAAAGTCTCTGGGAGTTTACCAGAAGCAGCAAAACCTGTGGTAAGTATTTAAATACTTTCAGTAACATGATCTCAATAATTAATCTAAAATAGTTTGAATGCATGTGTTTTAAAATATAATTGAGGATTGGAAAACAATATATGGAGCTCAGATTACTGCTATATTTGTGAGATTGTGCTACAGTGTAGATGTCTATTTTTTATTGAATCAGTGATAGGTTCTAGACTTAAATTTTTCTTGTATTTCCAGCTTGCAGTCAAGTAAACTTATATTATTCACTTCTTCTTTAAAAGCCATGTGTGACAATCTAGTTACACTTTTGGGCAATCAATCTTTTTCAAATTAACATACAGTACTCATTTCACCCAACCTCCCGCCCGCTTCTGGATTTCAATCGCTTTTTATTCGCTCGATTTGTTCAATTCGACCGCGCAATTTCCGCTTTTTTTCGACCGCGCAAATCCGGAAGTATCCGCTCGCGCATTCGCTCGCTCGCCTGACAGCGCAACCACCCGCATTTACAGTTCATTACCTACTGTTTCATGTACAAGTGTATCATTTTTGTTTTTATGATGTTAAAATAAGAATAAATACAATCAAAAATTTATAGAACGACCGTTGAAAAAATACGGTGGATCACACGGCCATATAAAATTGGTAATAATACATACGCGTAGTAATAATGTCCACCATAAACAAGATCGAATCAAACATGTGAAATCAAATACGACACTGACATTCTATTTTTGGTGGAGAGCGAAAAATGTCTACTGTAGAGTATGGTATTCGTTGAGTAACCGTGTGTAGGGTGACAGTTGTCATGCACGCATGGTTTGGGTTTAACACGGGTCAAGTTGTAGTTATGTTAAAATCCGTGGCACCTATAACAATTGAAGAATATCTGCAGGAATAGTAAGACTGTGAAAAAAACGACCAATCGATTGTTATAGTGTACAATTTGTCAAACAAATACAATACTTGCAAATGTAATGTCGGCCAGCGCCCATCTTACTTGTCCGAAGTTGTCGAAGCAGACATCGATGGAGATCGCGTTTTTTAACTGGCAAGCGGACTAACACGTTACATAAACTTGTTGAATTGCAAGTATGGTTTTTATTTTTGCGCCCAATGTCTCGTTATACAATAAAGGATTCAAATTTTGCAGGGTATTCCGTTTTTTGCGAACTCTGGGCGAAATACTTTCATGAGCTGTACGTAGTTCACTTACAGCCAAAACAAAGTCAGCTTGGACATTAAGTTGTGAGACGCGACAAAATAAACGTTGCCAGTGATAGATTACATGAATAAAAGAACAAAATAAACGCAATCAAAGGCGCCGACCACACGCTTTGGAAATAAATAGAACGCATTGCTAAGATGAATCGCACCTGCATCTCGACGACGTCTCCGGTCATGAGCAGGGTTTGCAGTGTCTTAGAAAAATTGAAAGTTAAAAAGGAATCAGTGTCGGGGAACCATTCACAATGTTTGCATGAAAAATCCCACGCGAAAGCGTTTTTTTTTCTGTTACAAACACTATGGTACCTGAATCCCGATTAATTCATAAATATGAATCGGTAAGGGTCAATTTCCTGCAATCCTTCAAGATTAAATTTGCCTCCGAAAATCTTTCTAACGATGACCTGGAAGATGCCATGATTGAGTGCCACCATTTCCGTTCTAAGATTCATTCAGTATAATAATACAAATGTTCACCCCACAGAGTGGACATACAGTTTTAGCGACCCGAAGAGCTCATTGTCAACCGAGCGAAGCACTACGATAAAGACTTTCCGTTC